AAATAGCAGATCAGATTAATCTTTGCTAAACTTAACCCAATATTTCAGTCAGCAAGTGCCATTACCCAACAACCACAAACTTCATATATTTATCTTAACCATAAAAGCTACTTAAAGTTAACAAATAACAATCGATAATTGTGAATGTTCTTTAACTTCATATATTTATCTTTTCCAACCTTTTGATATTTCCATACAAAAATTCAGATTTCAATTGCTATTCACTAATTGCAAGAACCACCAATCTTCAAACTGAGAAAGCAAACCTTACATGGCCACAGTGTAGTTATAGAAGTCTCCGCCACTGAGAAGAATGCAGATAGGCCTAAAAGTGCAGTCAAAATCACACCTTGGTCTTCCAAAATCTTAAGAACCCTAGAAACCTTAGGCCACGCATTCCTCAACAACAGTGCCAATTGCTCCATCACCCGTACCCTGCATTCACCGCTCCCTCTACCGCAAGCACCCTCTTGCTCCAGAAAACCGAAAGACCACAAATCATCGCCCCCAGAAAGACCCCACGCCTCAGCAAAATCTTCAGAGACTCCAAATCCAGGCCTAAAACCTCATCTTGGTCAACACGAACACTTGGATCCGGAAATGAAGTGAGGGTCGATTGATAACAGCGGAATCAGCTGCCATAACTCCCCAAAATAGTTACAGCTGAAGGACGATGTTAAAAACTTCAAAAAAGAAAAAAGACCGAAGGTTGTATTCCGTTTCCCAGTCCTATTCCTTCTTCTTCCTCTTGGACCTGAGCATGCTAGATGATGAGATAAAAACAGACGTTGAGGGAGAATAAGACCAGTATTAATGGATTTGCTGCATATGGAATGGAGGAGTTGGAATCCATAATAGAAGAGGAACCCTAAAGAGGTGAAATTGAGCTGAGTCTGTGATGACGATGGTGTCCCCTCATCTCTCCAAATGGATTTGACCACGAAGATGTTTGCTGAGAGCCAATGAGACAGAGGGACTGAAGCTAAAATCATAGGACTTGCCCTTCCCAACTTTACAATTACAGTTATAGCCCTAGACAATAACCATCCAAAAATCCAGATTTCCCGGTTATGAAATGATTCTATCAAAATCCCATCTCAAAATACAAACTTTCCCTTTAGTCCGTCATTGTCAAGCAAGAATTTTAATGACTGCGCTAATGGGAATCTCAAGAACAAAACTGTAAAGAAGGAAACTGGAAATAGATTCAAATGAAACAAAGTATTTACACATAACCAAGAGAGATTAACAAATTAAACCTTCAAACATATTTTACAGTAAAGAAACACAAAATTACAAACCATAAAGAGAAGAGAAGGCTGGCAATTTTATACAAACCAGTGCCAACCATAACAAGAACTTTAAACCCAAAGAGCACTTATATTCAGGAAATCATTAAATCAGAAGGTCTATAACATCAACTTTGCAACTACTTTCTTCTTTGAACAAGTCCTCTGGCTTTTCTCATCTTCCTGTCGCTTTGACTTGGTCGGCCATGAAATAAAGATACAAACCAGTTTGGTTTTCCTGTTCGGAAGACATGATATCCCATCAGCAGTCCAAAAACAATTCCATATCCATAGCATAGCACCACGACTCTCCGGCCAAATCTACACAATTCATCTTTGTCTTGGAAGGAGCTCTGCGGAGTCCCAATTCCATCACAAGATTTTGATAATGGAATTCCACACAGTCCAAGGTTTCCTTCATAAGAATCATTTCCAAAAGTGCTGAAGTGATTGCCTTCTGGTATGCATCCAACAAGATGATTATTTGAAAGATTCAATAAAGAAAGTTGTGTCAAAGATACCCATTCATCTGGAATTTTCCCTACTAGCGCGTTGGAAGAGAGATCCAACCATTCAAGATTTTTCAAATACCCTAGTGATGGTGAGATAGGACCAGTACGGTTGTTATGAGAAAGATTATGCCCTTTGAGATAACTAAGCTTTCCAATAAGCTCTGGAATTTCTCCTCCAAACTTGTTATTTGAGAGATCAATGCTAGTGAATGTGGTCAAGATTCCTTGTGGCTCATCCTCAAATCATTTCATTGTCACAACCATTGAATATTGATAAGAACTCACATTCGTCTCCGTTCTCATGTATTCAGGAGAACCCTCATCTCTGTAGAGGTCCTCATGTTTTCGTCTCCATCCTTGTTCTCTTCTTTGGGTTTGATTTCCTCAACTGTTGCCAGGGTTGCATGGAAAAATTTCTTTCTCAAGGAAATAGTCAAGCAGGCTGCATCAACTCCATCTCTCTCTATCAACAGGCTATCTCTGTCTTCCCCATGGAATGCCATTGATGTCACGCCTGTTTATTCCATACCATTTTAGAGAAACTCAGAAACATCAATGCTATTCATTTTGTTTATACACAGATTACTTAATGAGAGATCATGATCAGTAAACCTATCGTCTGCTACTGCAGCTATCTTCATGGCCTTTGTGCGGCAAGTGTCACAGTGCATTGACACCTTAATCACTATCTTTTGCTGCAGCATCAAATAGAACAGATCACGCTTCTGGACAAAAAAAAAAAAAAACAATCTCCAAAATCCAAGGTAAAAAGGCGACGAATAATTTCATATCAAAACATAATGTTTCAGAGGATTAAATTAGCTACAAGAACCAAAAAACAAAAAAAAAAAGGCAGAATTGTATGTATTTATTTTATGAACTCTATAGCTTACCTTCATATTCTCCTGCACCCAAAATAATGATGCAAGTAGATGGAATGTAAAGCATGCGGTATTGTATATACAATATATATAGAGAGCAGTAGCAACTTCACTTTTTCAATTTTGTTTCTTATGATCTCATCATATTCATTGCTCCAAAGTAAAACCATCACATGGTTGAAATTAAACAACTTAGTTTCTTTGCATGTTCTTTTCTCCCTATTGAATGCATGTGAAGTTCTTCCTAAGGATGGAAAGTTCAGATCCACCATCTCTGGGTTCAACCTTTTGCTTACTCCAGTTCTAGAATCATTTAATTGCCTCCTAAAACCAAGTGGCTAAATGAAAGACCAAGTCAACTTTCAATAGAGTAGATATTCGGTATGTTAAGGTTATTAAATAAAAATTTAACATCGAAATTCCAACAATTATGTGATACAATAATCCCTTGAGGATCAAGATGCTAAGGATGCAACCTTAGCTAGTATGAACATATCAATGGAGGAGATTTTTTTGCAATTTAAAAATATTTCAGCGAGTGATGATGCTAGTTTATGGGGTTGATGTAAGATGATGAAATCATTGCTTATGTAATATAAATCAATAAGCTGGAGTTGATGGGCTAGATCTTTAGAAACTGATATTGTCAAAAAAAAAAATTGAATCACAATAAAGTTCATTAATTAGAACACTTGAGCTTTAGGCAGGGGGACATGAGTTAAATCGACATGAGTTTAGTAGGTAGATACCTATGTGCGTTGTTGTTAACGTTAAATGTAATAATATTATAGAAGGAAATCCCTTGTAAGGCTTTTATAAAAGTTTTGGTTTTGGGTAACTTAGAGGTTAGATTGTGTGTGTGATGTGATGAATTTTGGTGTGAACATTGCAACCTAGGCCTAGGGGGAGTGGTAGATATTATGGGTTAGGTGAAAGGCAAGCCAATGTATTCATAAGTTCCCTTTTTTTTTTCTTTTTTTTTCAAGTGACAGTTATTTAGAAAGAAGTCAAACATTAAACAATTTAGAAGACAAAGTAATAGGTTGATCAAGTCAATTAGACTACAGCACTAGCACTAGCAATGGACATATTCCATTGACATATTCATAGTTTTCAAGTCTTCTTCCCATGTTCAAATTGGATCTTACTTTCAAATGCTTGCGTTAGAGAACATCTACTTGTTTCAAACTTCAAAGGGTAGACCAAGAAGA